TGCTCAGCGCACCGAGTCCCGATGGCCGCACCCTCGTCTGCAGGGTCGAGGAAAACCCAAGCACTTCTGGGACCTGGTAGGTCACTAAAGGATCCTTTATGCACTGGTTACTGAGTGTTGCTGTTCTCAGCCCACGTACAAGCCCAAGGCAACCCCCGGCCTCTGCAACTCCAGATTTAGTGACGGTTCAGACAACCTGAGAAGCAAAACATGCCTATGCTGCTAGTGGAAACACGAAGCAGCCGTGACCTACCTCTAGGAGAAATCACTGAAGAAAGCATAATATCTATTGGATGCCACGTGCTGCCAGTCAGGTTGGAGAAAAGGCTTCTGGTAAACCCCTGAGGGGAGACAACCAGCTTTCCTAGTCCCAGAAGTAACATCCGACGAGGGACGGTGGGAATTGGCTCCCACCATATTGAAGGCAGCAGCAAAGCATTTTTCAAGTTCTCGGAGCGTCAAAAAGCGCAAGCCCGGCATCGTTTCCCCTGCGCCGAGCAACCTGAAACCAATGAAGGTCTCTTCTGGAGCAAAAGGATCCTGAGCTCTGCTGGTGCCTGTATCTGAACAGCCAGAAACTTGAGGTCACGTCCATCCCCCTTTACGCACGGCCAGGTGTTGGTCTACCCCGGCTGGAGTGTGGACTCACGGCTGCACCGAATCCCTCGTCGGGCGCCTGGATCACTCAACCGGCCAGGGACATCTCAGAACCGCATGACTGTTCGCAGCCCCGGTGCTTTAGTATTTCTCTGTTTCCTTCACTACACATTTGCCTAAAAACTGATGGAGAATTTATTCAAGAGCCAAAGTAACCAGCAAGCAGGGAATTAAACTTGGGTGGGTGGGGGCAGCAGCCCGAGCAGGACGTCTCGGGTGGGTTCGGCATCCAGGGACGAGCTCCAGCGCAGCAGCTGTACCCAGGCCAGCTCGGGTGCATCTATGCTAGCTGCAGGCACTGCAGCGACTACAGGGCCCCTGCATTGTAGGGCACAGATTTTGCTGTCAAAATATCATGTATTCACTTCTAGAAAGGTGTTGAGACTTGGCTGCTGAGTCTGTCTTTCAGATTCACTTGATGGTGTGCCCTCTTTAAATAGCATCGGCATAACCTTTCGGGCAGGGATGGGGCGAGGAGGCCAGCTGGGTGCTAGACACAGGAGTCCGGCATGCTGCCGCGCCAGGGTCGGCATCGGAGAACACGCAAACCCCGAAATAAACTTACAAAACCACGAGAAAGTGGCTGCATACGTCTCAGAGCACCTCTGCTGCCAGGAGAGGAGGAAGACATCTCCTGGCAGTCACAAAAGAGAAGGATCAGCCTAGATTTGCTGCATTAATGCAAGATGGTAATTTATGAGCAGCCAGTGCTTGTTAACGCTCCCAGTACTGAAAGGAGTAACCTAGATGGAAAGGGGGAGGGGGGACAGCTCTTGTTTCATGCACGATCAGCTGGTGAATTGTGCCTTGTTAAGAGGACTGATAAGTTCAAGATCTTCCCAGGAAAACTAATACCTTCATTTACCTCCAATGAGCAGAGATGGTGCCAGGGAAACCAATTTAAAAGCGTTTCCTCACTCAAGTCTGGGTTTATGAGTCAGGTGAGGAAGGCATTTATGTACGTGGCCGGTATCGGTTCTCCCGCACTTCCTCACGGCTCATAAACAGTGCAAGCACCGGAAAGCAGTCTCCTCCCCAGCACAAAAAGCCTGAAGAACAGGCGTTGGGAGCCACGCTGTCAGGTACATCGCTTCGGCTTTTTCCCTGTTCAATGCTGAGCTGAGTCGCCGAACAATTAAAAGTGCATTATTGCAACATGCACTGGGAACATGCAAGCCGCCCACCGGATGAATGCCGGGGGATTGTGGAGTGTGCTCAGTACGTGCGTGCCAGAAGCTTCTCTTCAATCCTCTCTCTCTCTCTCACAAGCTGCTACCAGCAGAGCCCAAGGAGCACGAACCAGATTTCAATGCCTTGCACAACCCAGCACCCGCTCAAAAGGAGAAGAGAAGAGAAGAGCCCCCGTAAAACGGGAAGGAGGCCTTTCTCTCGTGTGCTTTGTTTTCAAATGGCTCGACCGCATTGGCAAAACTTACCCGAACTTTCACTTCTGGGGTGAGAACAAAGCTGCTGGTGTCTCTCGGCCCCCGCGGTAAAAAAAAAAGCTGTCAGTGTTTGAAGTGGCCACAGACAAACCCTTCACATCGAAAGGCCTGTACTGTATAACTTCAGCTGTGCTGTCTCAGCATGCAGTGCCTATGATATCAGCTTGGTCATTTATAACCCAGGAGCAGATTATCTCGTTGCCTACGACACCGAATCCTTCCTCGGGAAAACTTCCGAGCGGTGGCTCTCCAGCTCTCTCGACTCGATGCACCCCTGCTAGAGTCAAGCACCCCTTGGAAAATACCAGCTCTCACTTATCGCTTGATTGTTGACTATGGAAAAATACTAGAGCAACTCCGTTTCAAGCAACTCCGAAAGCTCGCAGCAGGGCAGAATGCTTTTAACAGTATTTGAAACCTCCGGGTTTACCCCGTGAATCATGTTTGCACGCCCAGCGGTGCTAACACGGGGGGCACCCCTGGAAGGATCTCAAGGCAGCCCAGGGTTGAGAAGCACTGCCCTAGAGCAAACCAGGGCAATTTGCAAGGGAGCGCCATGAAAACCAGTCTAAACACGTGGCCTTCAGTTTGGATCATAATTCAGGTTTTTTGGAAGCCATCTAGGATCTGCTGTGTCCGTAATGAACTGCTTCTGCAAGATTATTGTGGGGAGTACTGCAGCAGTGACCCCGTGCAGCCATCCGACCGCCACGACCGGGGGGGGGAAAAAATCAGTCAGGAGGAGAAGGAGGACACAGGGCCAAAGATCGGAGCTGGCCGGATCCTTAATACGAGACAGCGGTGCATTTACAGACAGGAGCCAGGGGACAAGAGTCGCCGACAGAGCATTTGCAGAGTTGCAAAAAGCCCGGCCCCACCAGCGCCGTCCGCTCGCTCCATGCGGCCCGACACGGCCGTCTGCCCAGCCGGCCGGCGCTGCTGAAGTTTCCCACGCTGGGAGCTGCAGTGCGGCCGATTCAAACAAAGCCACTTCCCCAAACCTTTACGGCTGCATCAAAAAACCGAATAAATAAACCGCCTGCCCAAGCTCACGCTGAAATTTTAGCCCGGAGTGACAGCCGCAGCGATTATTATATAAGCCCCTAGAAAACGGGATATCGGTGCGAGCGGGAACGGGCTCCGCGGCCCAACCTTCCTCTGACAGCTTTGCATTGACACGGCTGAGTCAGGCCTGCTAGGCAACTCGTCTCACCAGGGGCTGTAAACAAGCATGATTCATTGGCACAAGGTGCCTCGTTTCACATTCCCTAACCCGGATACGGACACGAGAGCGGAGCCAGCCAGGCCCAGGCACCGGCCAGCCCCAGGAAGCCATCTGCAGCAGCTTTGTGCCAGCACACTGACAGCATTCGAGTTTTAACAGCTTCCTGCACTCCCAAATCACAGACAATGAGGGTGGGATGGGACCTCAGGGGGGGGGGTCACGTCTAGTCCAACCCCTGCTCCAAGCAGTACCAGCCCCAACTGCATCATCCCAGCCAAGGCTTCGTCTGCTTGGGTCTAAAACACCTCCAAGGATGGAGATACCACCACCTCTTGGGGTAGGCTATTCCAGTGCTTCACCGCCCTCCTAGTGAGAGAGTTTTTTCCTAATATCCAACCTCAACTTCCCTTGCTGCAGCCTGAGCCCATTGCTCCTTGCTCTGTCATCTGCCCCCACCGCGACCAGCCCAGCTCCATCCTTTTTGCAGCCCCCCTGCAGGGAGGTGAAGGCTGCTATTCAATCCCCCTCGGTCTTCTCTTCTGCAGACTAAAACAGCCCATTTCCCTCGGCCTCTCCTCACCAATCCTGTCCTCCAGCCCCCAAACCATTTTCCTCGCCCTCCACCGGACACTCCTCAATTTATCCACATCCTTTCTGTAGTCGGGGGAGCCCACAGCTGGACACAGCACTCCAGATGTGGCCTCACCGGTGCAGAAGAGAGAGGACAAACCACTTCCCTAGATCTGCTGGCAAATGGAGGGTCTCAATTACTGAATTGAGCCACAGTTTGTCCCCAGGGTTATCAGCCAGGCCAAGGAGCGCGGTAGCGAGCAGGCAGCAAGACACCCTTGCGAGGCGGCTGCATTGCTGCGTGCTCCTGCTCCTCACGTGGCAGGAGGGAACATCTCCCGGGAAGACAGAACAGGGCTGGACCTGGCATCTGCACTGTCCCCCTGTAGTGAGTGAAGAGTCCCAGCATGAGCACACTCATCAGAGATGGAGCAACACGCAACCGCTCATCTCTAACGTTACCACCACTGACGCCTTGCAACGAGGTGGCTGGGGACATGGGCGCGAACAGAGCGTAGGTGGGGGGCAGCCCACCATCTCGCTTGCTCCCACTGAAGGGAGGTGGGTTTACTCCATCGGTGCAAGCATTTACCCAGCGAGGGGGTCAATCCCCGGTCTGCCTCGCTCTTCAGCACCCCACTGCCGGGGAGCTTTCTCTCCCCTCGCCCGCAGGCAATGTCAGGGGCGGCTTCTGCCGCTTTTCCACGCGTTGCCCCTTTCTCCACCCAGCAGCGCAGCAACAATCATCTGACCTCTCTTGCTCCCGAGAAAGGAGGGTGCCAACTGAACGCAACCTGGCAAACTGCCTCTGTTTTTCCTTTCTTTTTTCTTGCAGCAGAGCCAGCCGATCCTTCCAGAAAGCCAGAGCGCTCCAAGAACAGCACCGGGTCGCCCACGTATTCGACATGGCCAACGAATAGGGTGGATCTTTATTTCTAAATTACAGTGAAATACCGAGGGACTTTCTGCTGCCAGAGGCCTTCTACGTCAGGGAGGCAGCGTGAGCTGTACGTTCCCGCCACGGCAGGTCTTCGCTTCCCTCCCCGCCCTTCAGATCCCGTCCCAAACACCACGAACCTTTAGCGAGATGCCGCGTGACTCACCCAGTTCCTTAGAGCCTTGGCTTTCGCTGGCCAGCTCCCCCATCTTAACCAGAGCATCGAAGTATCCCTTTGCCGCGTAGGTCACACCTGAAAGCATCGAAAGAAAAAGCAGAGGGTGTTATCTGTGGGGACCCTAATTTATGCAACATCTAGTACATGCAAAGCACGCCACAAAGCAAACAGGCAGGGTCCGAAAGGCTTACGGTTAGGGCTAGGTAAAGAGACTACTGGGGCAGGGGGCAGAAGGCATTAAAGCTATGAGATTAAGGGGTTATTTGGCCCCCAAAAAGGGCAGCGATCTCTGAAGCGGGTGCATTTTCAAACATGCTCCGGCGTTTGCAATGCACGGCTTGCTGCGGCTGCCGGAGGCACGGCCGTGTCACGGGAGAGCGTGGCTCTCCGTCACAGCCCGTTCTTGTGGTTGGTCTGCGGACACTGCATCTACACACTCGATCACTTTAATCAGACAAGCAGGGGGGTTTCCTCTAATCACGAGAACATGCTGTACAGCTCGGGCTCGGCACCAGCACATCTCTGCGGCGGTCTCTTCCCGCACATGGTACCGATTACGCTGCTTCCTTTAGCTGTCCTTCACGGGGGCCCAGGGCAGAGCAACAGAAAAGCCGGGCTGGAAGCTGTGGGACGGCAGGTGTTGCAAAGGGAACGGGGGACGCGGGGCCATGACCCACAGCTCGAAGCAGGCCCCCCCCCAGCACCTTAAAGCATCCATGGCCACATGCTTCAAACAAAATAATCTATGCACGGATTAAACAGCAGCGTTTCAAGGGAGAGATTCTCCAGCTCTTGGCCACATCGATGGGGGATGCCTTTAATAAAAGCACCCCTGTTTGGAAACTCAGAGTCCCCCCTCCAGCCCCCCGACTGCAAAGTGTTGTGTGTTTCCTCCCCAGGGCAAACTTGGTTTTTACTGCTGCCTACGCAGAGCAGCAGAATTAAGATGAGATTAATAAGAAAAAAACCCACACAACTCATGAATTGAGATTTAGTTAACATGGTTTAATGCAGCTGGAGACTGCCATTAAGTCCCAGTCCCCCAGGAGACGAAACACAAGAGGCCAGAAGAGCAGGAACAATTATATGTATTTTTTTTCCTGAGGCGGCAGAGCTTGCCTGGCAAATCCCACTGGTTACCTGCATGCTCTCCAAAAGCATGGTCTGAAATCTCACCTCGCTCACCCCGCACATCCCTCAGCATGGATTCACTTAAGAGCAGCTCAACTATATGATTTTTTTCATGTGGCTTCTTCAAAATGATGAGCCCATTCCCTAAAACGGCCAGCTACCTCCAACAGACAGTGCAAAATCCAGTGTCAAAGGGGATCCTGCATGGCCGGCAGAAGCACGGGGGCCCTGGGAAGAGGCCGGTGCACGGCCCCCGAACACGTGCTGGGTGCAGGTCCAGAGTCCAGCCGCACTGGAAGCCAGACAAGCTTTTAATGACTTTAATCACAAAGCAATGGAAGCCAAGGGACCATCCAGCAACTGAAATCTCAGTGCCCTTCACTACTTCCCAGAGGAACAGATGTCTTCGCTTTCATCTCCCCAGGATTTTAGCTGCAGCACTCTGGGCGCGCCTTGCCTTCCTCCAAGCAAAGCCAAAATCAAGTCTCCATTAAAAAAAATGTTTTATTACTATTTAAAAAAGGGCCAGATAATCTTTGGGGGAAAATGCCACAAAAACATTTTTAGCATCCTACTGGCCTCTAGAATTGAATGCTCAAGAGCGCCTCATGCTTGGACTATTTTCGAGTCCAGCGGAGGGCAATGAAAATGTTTGGGGGCTGGAGGACAGGACTGGTGAGGAGAGGCTGAGGGAAATGGGCTGACTGAGTCTGCAGAAGGGAAGACCGAGGGGGATTGAAGAGCAGCCTTCACCTCCCTGCCGGGGGCTGCAAAGAGGATGGAGCTGGGCTGGTCTCAGTGGGGGCAGATGACAGAAGGAGCAATGGGCTCAAGTTGCAGCGAGGGAAGTTGAGGTTGGATATTGGGAAAAACTCTCTCACTAGGAGGGCGGTGAAGCACTGGAGCGGGTCACCCAGAGGTAGTGGACTCTCCATCCTTGGAGGTTTTTAAAACTCAGCTGGACAAAGCCTTGTCTGGGATGATGGAGCTGGGGCTGGTGCTGCTTGGAGCAGGGGTTGGACTGGATGTGACCCCCCAACGTCCCTTCCACCCTCGTTTTCTATGATTCTGTGATTCCCAAGAAGACGGCTCTGTGCCAGGTTTCCTAAGGCAATTTGCCCAAGACAGGCGTCGTGCCTCATGTCAGAATGAGAGGATAGCGATGTGCAACCGGGCAAGAGGACGGGCACAGGGGCAGTCCACGGGCCAGATCCTGTGCCCAATGCTGGCAGGTGTGTGCAACCCCATGCACTCGCCTGACCCATGTGCTGGGTTTGCCCATGTACCAGCCAAACCTCGTGCACCGGTGCCACCACACACCATCATTTGGTTCATAGGACTGGAAATTTGGCATCAGGGGATCAGCAAGTAATGCTTCCACAGCCTCCCCACCTCCAGACCCATGGGAAGCCCTGCGGCCAGATGACGTGGGTCCACGGGCCAGATCCAGCCCACGGGCTGGAGACTGAGCATCGCTGCGATAAGACATTTGACTCTAGCTTCCAAAATCCTCACCACAGCGATTCCCCCACGAGCACAGGCATCCTGTGACGTGCTTCGAGGACCGTGCTGTTGCCAGCCGCTCCCCTAGATGCTGCGTGGCCTGGTGCTCCCCGGTTCTCAGCTAGGTCTGCATTTGCAGCTCAACTTCACTTACTTGCCAAGGCTTTCTCGTAGTTCTTCCCCATGGAAATGAAGTTCCTGAGGCTGGGATTGAACTGTTCCATGATCGTCTGGATGAAGGGAAACAGCAAAAAAACACAACAGATGTTAGCAAAGGTGGCTGGGAGGAGAGACAATTAAAAGGAAGAGGGTTCCCCGTCATTAGGCGAAACCTCCCCATGGCCGCCTCGTGTATGCACACACAGCGGCTGATTCACAACATGCACACGCGCTGCCATGCCGAGCGGAGCACCCTCCCACGCGCCGCTCCATAGACAACACAATCCAAACGCTGTGCACACAACGGACCTGTTTTAATAAATGCGAGACATCACGACGACATTGCAACGTGCCCAGAGGAATACTTTTGCTCTCTGCAGGAGATAGTGAGCCAAGGAGAAACCGGATCACAGGACAATATAGGATCGGATCAGCCAGGGATGGGCTGGGATCCTTCCAAAAGCTGAGTAAGAATGTACTCAGCTGCACAGCTGACAGAAACAGCCCGACTAGAAGTAACGCTCAGACTGATCAATGCTGCATTTTCATCCCTCGGGTACCGACCCTGCTTCTACGAGAGGAGACGCGTCCTCGCAACGGTGCCAAGCTGTACGGGCAGCAACGCAGCCAGAAAGCCCCGCGCTCCCAGGGGCGCGGGATGCACCGGCGACGGGGCTTTCTACCCGGGTGGAACAACGCTTGTGCCCCAGACGGGAGCCGGCCAACTTGCCCGTGGCGACACCGAGCTGAAAGCCACCTGCCTCTGCACGGCCAGGGAAAGACTTGCACGCGTGCAGCCCGTGACCCCGGCCCCTCTTTGCGCGTCTCGCTTCGCTCCTACCCCAACCACCGAAAGCTGCGTGGATTTTGTGTCCATCCTTACGTACCCAGCTTGGCTCTAATGCTTCACGCCTCCAGCTGGCTGTGAGCTTGGCAGGCTCGGCCTCTCCTCCTTTCTGCATGTGGCACACTATAGTTTTGGAGGCCTCGGCATGGTTTTCCAAAAAACCCTGGGTTTGCTAAGGTGTGCTATGGGGGCGCTCTGCGGGTGTGGCTGGATTCACTTGGCCTTGAGCGTGAAGGGGTGATCCTGCCCTATCCTCTGCTTCCAGGGTAATGGAAGATGCATTTAACACTTCCATGCTGACACGCAGGGTCTAAATGGACGTGCCACCCCCCCTGCAGTAGCAACACGGTTTCCCTCTGGGAAGAAATTACGGGCAGCGTCTGCAGCGACAGCAGCTGAAGGTCTGCTGTGAAGAGCAAGGAAGGTTTCTCTTTCCCGTGGTACGTTGCCCTGGTCATTACCCAGCCTCTGCTGAATCAGCTCATCAGATTAAGGGAAGGGATTAGAGGAACCTTCGTTTCCTTTTATCAGCAAAAAGCAACTGCTCCAGAGAGCCAGACCTCAGAGCATGCTCCGTCGCCAGCCGTCGGCCCAGCCCCGATGCTTCGCGCGAGGATTTCATACATTTCATAGACATCAGGGCTGGAAGGGACCTCGGAAGATCATCGAGTCCAGCCCCCCGCCCAAAGGGCAGGAAGTCAGCTGGGGTCATAGGATCCCAGCAAGATAAGCATCCAGTTTCATCTGGAGGAGTAAAAGCTGGAGCTAACAGCAGCCCTCGGGTATGTCTGTGTAACGCTGCCTTCAGGCCCCGTGGCTGGATGTGCGAGACGAGAGCCTCCTCGAGAGCTCAGGTTTTGACATCGAGTCTAACTGAGAAACAAGTCAGTGCCCACCAACACGAGACACTCGGACAGGCAGGGAATTAGGTGCTATTCTCAGTCTGCTCCTAGCCACGCATCCCGGCCGGGTCTGATCCACTTACCGCCCGCCTGGGATTTACTTTTATTAACTTAAAGAGCGCCGAAATAAAACTGGAGCCTGAGCTTTCTCCTGAGCCAATATGCTCCTACCGCCTTTCCCTGCAGCATCCATCTGTCTCTGCTC